TTTCCTCATCAGATGTGTCAACTCCCTTAATGGGGTGTTCTTTCCTTCCTGCTGCTAAAATCTTAGCTTTACTTCTAGTAACCATATGAGAAGGTGAGTAGGTTGCCTTACCCTTAGCTAATTTCGGAAGCTGCAATGACATATTAGAGGAACTCGGAGTTATGATTCTAAAAGGTTCAAGCTTAGAGTCAATAAAAACAGTTTTCTCTCCTTCAGAGTGAGTGTAGAGGGCAGGTTCTTCAAATCCTGGGCTTGCATCCTCAAGAGCATTTAGTTTCATCATCCTTGCAGTAGAAGAGCAATTAAATAAATCTATCATCTCGTCTTCATTGTTGAAATTATGAGCCTCCGGGGTTTCCTCAAGGTCCTCACTTGATTCAAGAATCCCGAATGGATTATAGGAAGTGAAAGAAGGAGCTATAGGAGATGGAATGGATTGCCGATCAACATTGATAGCGCCACTCCAAGTTCTGGCAGGTGCTTCACACCCCATGCCTGCCTCGGCTCCTTCCCAGTGTTCATTAAGGAGGATATCTGATTGTGTTAAACTTTGATCTAAAGAAGGTCCAGGTACTGCACTCTTGAGAGCCTGAATCCCGAACTCAGAAGCAAGTGATTCGGTGTCCATTGCAATCAGACACTTAGAACATGAGTGTTCTTCCAGGTCTAAACTTGGGGCAGAAAAAATCAATGCTAATTCTCTTTCAACAGCTTTGGGCTTCCTGATAGATTCATTTTCCCAACTAAGAAAAGAGTAGGAAGCTGAAACTTCTTGGTGTATTGGTTGCACTACGGGTGGTAGCCAGTCTCCACAATCTATGCCTGACACAGTGGCATCAACTGAGCTGAATTTCTCAACCACCTTGCTGCTGTACTCATTGGATGAGCATAAACCTGATTTCTTTAAAGCACCGCGGTAGAATTGTTGAAGATTCAATGTGAAAGCTCTGAGCAGCTGAAAATTCTTTCCTACTGGGACTGAAATTGATATATATATATATATATATATATATATATATATATATATATAGACACACACACACACACGTATATATTATTCTTTCAACATTTTCGCAAAAAATCATATTATGCGGTAAATATAGTATGATTTTTTAGATTTATTTACAATAAATAGGGTATACGTATAGTAAGAATTTATAATAGGATTTTGATGAGTATATAAAAAGTAAAGTAAGAACATATAAAACTTATTTATATATTTGTAATACGAAATATAAAAAAATTCTGACTTATGGGAATGACACATTGTTTATTTTTTGTAGTAATATTTTGGAAAATATTCAGTGACCTTATAATGTAAATATATTTTAATACTTTTAAAATTGTAACCGAATATGTTATAAAAAATAATAAAGGAAAAAACATTATAATGAACATAGAATAAGTAAGACAATAATTCCTAATATTTTAATAAAGAAAAATGTATATTAAAAAAAAGTTCTATGGAGTAATAAATGAGCCAAACATTGAGCCACACACCTATTCTAATAGCATGTTTATTTCCATGCATTTAATACTCTATAAATGTGTACAACTACACTTCTCTAACCCTCCTTCTTTCTTCATTTATTTCTCAACCTCCTTACCAACTACATTCAAGGTGATCTTAAGCATTCATAACTACCATCAATCCTTCCTTTCTAAGGTTAGTAATTCACCCTCTTCTTATTTTAGAAATATTTTTTTTATCGAACCTTAGAAATACAATAAAAGACATTTGATTTATTGGTGCAAAATTCGAACCAACACTTAGCTTTGAAAAACATGAAATTGCATTGGAGTCAAAGTAATAACTCTTGGAAATTTATTTTTTATTGCATTTCGGCTAAAAAAAATTAAACTATAAATTTACTAATTTGAAACATTAAACAAAGTGTTAGAAGAAACGCTGTTATGTTTTTACTTCTAATTTAAATTTGTTTATATTGATTTAATAAAAATTAGTTGTTCCAAACAGATACCTGTCATAACTCTGTCAAGTGGAATGAGGAAGCTTATCAAAACAGAAAGAATCTCACCCAAGCATGATTCAGAAAACGAATCCGATAAAGGTAAGATAGTGTTCCTGATGTAATAAACTACGATTAACATTAATGATAAAATTGAATAAATATATACATATTTGTATATATAATACTACGTAAGTATATAGATATAAATAAATATATATACACATATATATTGTTAGAATAAAGGCCCAACGCTAGAGGGGGGGTGAATAGCGTTTAAAACAAAATTGCAGGAACTTAAAAACGAGAGCGTAAAAGTGAAGAGCGTAAGGAAAGAGCACACCGAATTTTATCCTGGTTCACCACAACGTGTGGCTAATCCAGCCTCCCGAGAGACTCTCTCGAGCTACACTAACTCCGTTAAGCTTAAGGGTGCTCAACAAACGATACAACTTGAGAACTCGAGTCACACGAGCCTCAACGCCTTTGCTCGGAGATACCGCACTCCAAGACTTCTCACGAAGGAACAAAGAACTTCCTTCGAGTTTACAACAAGGGAACAACCTTCCTTAAAGTTTATTAAAACACTTAAACACTCAGGAATAAAACTCTCACAAAAAGTAGATATGAGTGAACTAGTATACGCTCAGGTTGATAATCGATTATTGCATAAGTGATAATCGATTATTGCGTGCTTCAGAACTTTGGAGTTCCAAAGCTGCAGGGGCTGATAGTCGGTTGTCACTAAGGTGATAATCGATTATCACCCAGCTAAAGTCTAGCCAGCTGAAACCCGTTTTGAAAAACCGAGGTCCAAAAACGAAGTGTTCCCAAAAGTAAAAACCAAGTTTGAAAAACATTGTATATGGTATAAAATAGTGAAACCAAGACTTGTTTGGTAAAAACCAAGTCTTCAAGGTCGTAAATCACGTGTGTACG